TCTAAAGTCTTGAATTCTTGGAGTTTTATATATATGCATATGCTGAATCTAACCGTGTAATTAGATTTTTAATTTTAGCCCCGTTTTTAAATTGGTCCAAAATTGAGGTTCAAAGGGTCCTAAATTAATCTTTGTTTGATTTCATCAAAAATGGAATTAAATGGGTTCTTTGATATGCCGAATCTAATAGTGTATTTAGATTTTTTTTTATTTTGATCCCCGTTTTCAAATTGGTCCAAAGGTTCAAATTAAACTTTGTTTGATTTCATCAAAAAATGAATTATTGTGGTTCTTTGATATGCAGAATCTAACTGTGTATTAAGATTTTTTATTTTGGGCCTCGTTTTCAAATTGGTCAAAAATAAGGTCCAAAGGGTCCAAATTAAACTTTCTATTGCTATTTTAAGTATAAAATATAGCGTCAGAATTGGATCATTTCAGCATCATCGCAATTAAAATATGTGTGAGGAGATATCATCAGTGTTTTCATGTCTATTATCCATCTTTTATTGTTTGAATGACAGGCATGTTTATGTCTATGGAAAGTGGGGTCTTGAATTTATTTTTGTTCTTTATGGTGGGGACTTGAAAAAATAAAAGAAATTCCCATGTTTCCTCCCACATCCCCCCTCCCAACGAAAAAAAATTACCCTTAGTAGTTGATTTATAATTTCAGTCATGTTTAATTATTTATTTGCAAATCAGTTCTTGTATATACCATTTTGCAAGGAAAGGTTTCTCTATAAATAAGTTATCAAGATAATATGCATTAAAACAAGAAAACGCATATGAGCCCAAATTGACCAAATGGGACCTTTACTATAGAGCATATTCCGACTGTTTTCATTGCACTATTATTTAAGATTTTAATCTATTATAGTTTTTCAAGATAAACGCAAAATATTAAAAGCCGCCGCTGCAAACTGAATCTCCCTCTATCGAAAAAAAAAAATTATTCAAGGGTTCACAATTTTTGAATGTTTAGAGGGACAAGTATTTACAAAACATTATTTTTGACTCGAACAAATGTGTTAAAATTAAGAATAAGATACTGGATATGAAAGGTAGGGCTCTAGATCATGTATTGCTCACCACATGCACCGTTTCAACTGTTTACAGTTTCTACCCGAAAACTATTATTTAAAGCCAAAAACTCCTACAAGGATTCATCGCCGGAATAAATTAGGTGGAAATAGAATGTACATGTAGATATAGAGCTTGACATTCTACGCAATTTTTTGAATGAAAGGTGGTTTAATATATTACTATTTCTCCGTTATTTTTCAATGGAAACTATGTGCCATTGTGACCAGTTTCGGCAACCCATCAATAGTGAATGGTAATCGTTGAAAGGGGTCTACTCATCATTACTCATATAGAGTTTCCAAACATATAGCTTTGCAGTTTCAGTGAAGAGGATTTAAAAAAAAAAGATTGACTCTGGTTGAATTATATTTTACCAATCGAAATTAAATGATGGTCTTTTGTATAGGATTTTCAATACATTGTTCTTTGAAAGATTTATTAATATTTATCTTAATCAGATTGGTTAGGCACCGACTATTCATCTTTTATTAGCGGGAGCATGTGTATTTCCTTGTACTCAGGACAAACATATTTTTCGACTTTGATAAAAAATATACTTTTTTTTTAACAACAAGGTAATTTTTTTAATGTCAATAATGTTTTATTTTTCCCCTCATTTTCAATGGAAACAAATAATGTTTGCTTCCCTTCTGAAATAAATTAAGTTTTTTTTCAAGAAATTTGGAATTAAACATTTAAAAAAAAACATACCCCCCCCCCCCCCTAAAAAAAATCAATGGTCGGTACCTTAGCCCTGTTTACAGTTCGATTCCTTGATTCTTGAGAAGCCTTTTATATTGTGGGTAACTGTCTAGATGAAGCACGGCCTCGGTGGTAGCGTGTTCGCCTCGTGTGTGGGAGGACGCGAGTTCGAACTCCGGCCGGGTCAAACCAAAGACTTTAAAATTGGTAGTTGCTTGCTTCACCGCTAAGCAGGCGGCATTAAAGAGTAAGAGCTAAGATTGATCGGCTCGGAATTAGAATAATGTGTCCGGGTAAGGTGACATCTCTTCCTGTGGACTGTTTCCTTGTGAACTAGCACATTAAAAATCCGGCTCAGCGTGTCGGTCTAGTACAAAGCAGGGTAAATATTCATATTACATTAACATGTTCTCGTCCTGAATATGCATATTAATTTGCCGTTGGGCGTTAAGAATCCATCCATCATTATCTAGTTGAAGCTGTAAACAAAATGCACGAAAACATTATAACAAATATAATGCACTGAGTTGAAGTTCATCTCATATCTCCTTTCGTCCATAACGGGGCCTCGGTAGCCGAGTGGTCTAAGTAGACGAACTACTGTATCAATAGAATTCCGCCAGTGACAGGTAAGCTCCACTCCAATCTTAATAGACTAGAATTGTCAGTTTTCCTACCGAAGGTCGGTGGTTCTCTTCGGGCACTACGGCTTATTCCAACAATATAAACTGACCGCCACGAAATAGCACGATGGTGTTGAAAGTGGCGTTTTACACCAATCAATTAACCAATTAATAATCAATCAATCAATCAATCATATGCATGAGTAGATAATTTCATAGCTATTGTTATGAAGTACTTTTAAAAATTACTGTGATTTAATTGGAGTCTTTTGCAATAAAAGTTATTTTATCATATTTTCGCCGCAACCGGCATATTTTTCAACTATCTCCTGTATTTATTGATCTAAATCTTCCTCTGAAATGTTTGAAACATTGATTTTTGTTAAATTGCAATGTCTCATTTTTTCTATAAAGTGCACTTTCGGAAGCTGATACTTGGCTGGAGCAGTTAGGTCAGAAACAGTAAACTGGCATTCAAAAACAAAATGCAGAGTATCCTCTGGTAGATCAAATATTTGAACGTATGTTCATTACAGTAGACCCATCGATTAAACCTAAACTTTGCAATTCATATTTTGACAATTGTCCACCAATTATATAAGATGTGATTTTTTCATCTTTGAAACGAGGTACCAACGTGCCAATGTTTATCTCTTTTCCAACCGATAGCTACAGATTTGGGCCGGGTTTATAGTAATTCCGGAGAAGCAGATCGGAATCAGTTATAACGTAGACAGTAATAGTTCTAATCGTAATCATGTTCATTGACCATGACAACGATGAAAGCACATCATTTAAGGACGTTTTGACATCATATAATGAAGCAAACCGAACCACATCATATAATGTTACAAGCACATAATATAATGACACAACCACATCATATAAATCGTATAAGGATATTTGCACATTATATAAGCATATTGGCACATCATATAAGGATCTTTGCACATCAGATAAGTACATTTGCACATCATATAATGATGTTTGCACATCATATAAGTATGTTTGCACAACATTTTTGCACATCATATAAGGATTTATGCACAACATATAAGTATATTTGCACATCATATAAGTATATTTGAACATCGTATTAGTATATTTCCACATCATATCAGGATATTTGCACATCATATAAGGATATTTGCACATCATATAAGGATATTTGCACATCATATAAAGGTTTTTGCACATCATATAATGACAAGTGCACATCATATACAGGTAAATGCACATCAGATAATGAAAATGGGCATAATAAGACAGTTTTGGCGTTCCATAAAGGAATTAAATGTTATTATTGCGACAAACAGCCCGATAGAATTGAAAATTGTGCGAAAGAACATTGACAACATCGTTCGTAGACAAGCGAAAGAATAAAACATCAGCCAAACAATTAAACAAATTCAGAATGCACGTAGTTCGATACGAGTTGAAAAGATTTTCGATATTTGAACTCTTGGAATTAGTTATTCTTTTTATTACATTTCTATCTTATTTTTTTTTTTAAATTCAAACGTAAATAAAGTAGAAATTATACTTTGTTTTCATTTTGTTTTGATGAAACCTAATTAACAACACGTTTGCTCCGCTTCACGAAATGAAGCTATTAAGCTTCAGACGATATACACGCCGTCTTGAAATTATTACTCAAAAAAGTTATTTGTGATTGGTTGCCTAATGACTTGGTTAAGATTCTATGATTTTGAATTACTAATGGAATCATGAACACGTCACGAAATGAAGAAATTATATACTGAAGTTTAGAGTCCGGGTTGAATAAGAACGAAGTATGAGTATTCCAGACCAAATCAATGAATATATTGGTATAGTATGTAGCGTTGTGCTCACGTGAATAAGTGTTGATAGTCAAAACGGATCCATTATAACGCACACCCTTTGCTTAATCTGCATTAATAGTATACAAGATTTTTTCATACCATTTCCTATGTTTTATGTAAATAACATATCACTAGTCATTAATTTACATAATACTATTATATGAAATGAGATTTTCAAATAATTTTACCAAGACAAAGAGTGGTGTTAGGTAGCATTTGATTACTTTTTTAGCAATATTATAAATAATATGCATAATATTACAATCCTCTGGGAACATAATTGACTACCAAATCGTAATTGATTTGGTTTAACAAATAATAATCATTACGTGTTACCGTTTTAATATCTGCTAGTTGTTCGTTAAAACGGTTGCACCAATTCAAGGCAATTGCCCGAAGGTTAGAACATTGATAATTAGTTCCTTAGGACAATTTTGAGTCATTTATCTTGTGCGTGCATTTTTACTATTCTTGAAGATTTCATAATGCTCTCTAGATTTTGTTTTGTTTAATTTTACAATATTTTGATGTTTAATCGACGTTGATGCAATCCAAGTTCTTAACGCCTTTAACATACGACAAGCAAACAACTTATAGGTAAAGCTGTTGGTTGAAGTTACATAACCTTTTGCAACCTCAAACCAAAACCTCTTGAGATAAAGAGATGAAAGTACATTATTTGTCCCTATGTTGCAGTCAAATACATTTTGTTCTATCAAATGTAAAGCATTTATTTTTCTTGCAGACAAGAAACAGAGGAAAATGTTTGTCTACAGATTACTTAGAGAAGATGAAAATTACACATTAGGCCTGTCTGCAAAAGATCATGCATCTCCTGTATCTGTCTTTCAGCATGTTCTAAACGGAAGTTGGGGAAGCATGTCGAAATATATCTCAACATGTGGAGATCGAAATGTATTACAAAATTGTTTTGTGTTAAATTCAGTCAAGCCTGGACAAGTAGTGATGATAAATACAAATATGCTTCAACCAAATCAAATTATTGATTTACGGCAACAGTTTCAACGGGATCCGTTTATACCTCCCTTTGCTGATCAAGAGTCCAAAAACAAATTCAATAATTTTGCAAACAAATTCCAAGAAGTTCTTTTGGAAGGTTACATTCCATCGATTTGTATCCAGCCTGCTTAGCAGTTATAATCATCTGCAGTTTTCATACTTATAAAAATATTACTCTTTACATTCATAACTGTACAGAAATTGTTAACTGTCACATATTTATGAGTATTATTTAATACATACATGTGTATGACGTGATCTATTGCAACTTTCATTTGGACCTCGGTTTTCATTACTTCTCAGTAACCATTAGCTTTCAAAGTGTGATTCACAATTGACACCACTCATTCATTACTAAAACAGTGAGAATTGCAAATAAACTGTGTATTTTTGCATATGATGCCTTTCATAATGAAATGAATTATGTGATTTGACTGTATGACTACTTATTGCGTATATTGTGTCTATTCCAGAATCAATTTAATTGATTTAGTCATACATTGAAAGAGAGTTGATGCAGATTTGCTTCGCTTTATTTATGTTATTATTGCTTTTTATTTGGGAAAAGTTTTGTAAGCTCATTTACAATATCACAAGACAACACATAGGTTTCCATCAGAGTCAACAGTGCTAGTTTTCGTGAAAAAGGAGGCAACGCTTTTGGAATTTGTGATATCTTATTAATTTTTGTATATTGTGTATTGATTAAAACTATCGAGCTTTTTGGGGCTTTAGTATACAAGGATTTAATAAAAATAATAACTTTACATCAAAAGTAATTAAAATTTTGCTGTACATGACAAAAAATGACAAAATTACAAAAAGTTTGTTTGAGCAATTTTGCAAGATACTTGTATTAATATGTTTTTTAATGATTTAATACTACAGTGATTTGTGCATTATGAAGCCAGTATATAAACAGTTTGTGCTACCGTAAATATTTTAAATTCAAATTTATGTATTTTTGTTACTTTAAATTGTTAGAAATGTTCTTCAATTGACGCCTGATGTTGTGCGTGAAGAAACGACCGAAAACGTCTCATGCAAAATTCCACACATTGTTCAAATTAATTTACTTAACAAATAAATAGTCTATAAAATAATTTGCTCGCATCTTAGTTTCAAACTTATCACGAAATATTAATGTTGACAAATAAACCAAAAAAATTAAACCATTGTTATAGAAACCCTGCCGACCAGATGTGTACAAATTACAATAATTCTATTCTCAACATGTGTAAAATCAATTTCTATTATCTATATCTATATCTGAGAAACGGACAAAGCTATAAACACTTAACCGTAACCAATGAATCATACAATGAGGTAAAGATCAGATCAACCTTGCTAATCGGACAGGAAAACCTATCAATCATTCTATAAATCAAAAAACGTTGATATATTGCTTATATAATCTTTGAAAAGGACCTTACACGAAAACTAAACCTTGGTCAATAAACCATGAAATAAAATCAAGGTAAGACGATTAACGAAGTAATAATTCAAAAATTCCAAGATAAATGATATACTTTTTTAAGAAGTAACTGAACTATGCAAATACGGTCACGGACACCAGAAATCTTATAGATGGAAACTACAGATCGTTACGTGGTCTTTATGAGAACAAAACTTATCAGAATTTTGTCATATAATGTTTTCGTATTCTACTATTTTTTAAACAAACTTCAAAAGCATCCTCGACTTATTTTATTTTAATATGATTGTTTAAGAATTCTTATTTATATTATAATATATCAATTTTTCATGTTTTAAAAATCCAAAACTATTTAATTTATAACTTCCATACTATTTTATACACACATTTTGTCGTCTGTATATTTAATTTTTATGTGAAACTAATTTTTGTGATATTATTTATTAACTAGATTAATATTTATTTCTGTTGTCTGTTTCCTATGATTTGTAAAATCTGTGTTTTTAAAAATAAACTATTGAATTTAATTAATGTCCAACAAAATGTTTTCGGGTATTTTCGACCTCCTTTGCATGTGATACGAATTTTGATGATCACAACAAATTTTAAGCCGGGATCAATCACAAATTCTCATTTGAAAACTATAAGAGATAATATTTTAAAGGGTTTACCATCAAACTAGTTATCTTGTGTTTTAGATCATAGGCGAAAGATACAAGAGGAACATTCAAATTCATCAGTCGAAAATGAACTGACAACGCCATGGCCACAGTGTGGGAACGGAACTGTACGGTTTGTTTAATTTTTTGGTCATGCGGGAGACTGTCAAGCGAGGCTTCGACATTCGCAAAAATAACAAGTTGCTAAATGGAAAGTTTGATGAACTCAAATATTACTATATAACAGTCTACCTAAAACATTCCATATGTAAATATGAACCAATCAAATAATAAAAACGATACATGCATCCAAACGATTTCCTTAGAATGATGGAGCTCCGAGTAAATCGATAAAAACTGTCACACAACAGCAATAAAAAAATATCAGAAAAACATTGAAAAACCAATTGTTGCTACCATAATTTTCATATGTACCTTTTCTGATATAGTCTTACCTGTCTAAAAGTTTAAAAGCCATTGTCCCAGTAAAATTCAAATCCGTCATTATATTAATGTTGGATATTTTATTGACTGTACAGTCGCTTTCGAGTTTACTGTACAATCACATGGGCCATTCCTGTACAATCGCTTGGCCAACTTCATAAATACATTGCATATGTATTTAGTTCCTTGCCTGTCTTATTATATTCATCTATGGTATTTGAAATAAAAATGAACATAAATACAGTCATTTTCCGATAAATATTCTATCAAGGGCACCTTTGTAAGGCACGCTTAGAGGGTCTATATCAGAGACAAAATCAAAAATCGAACCATTAGTATACAAGACAAAATGAAAGAACAATACAAAAAGAATGAAAAGAAATCACTAATAAGAAAAACCAATATTGTACAAAACCAATTACCGATAAGGTGACTGAGTGCACCGGAAGGGTAAGCATATTGTTAGATTACTTAATTTAATATTTACCAACATTTGAAAAGAATAATATATATATATATATATGTATATAAACAATACAACAAAGAATGTTTCATCAGAAGATCGGGATATTCTAATTTGATACAGGCATTTGAATGTGGTAACTAACAAACAGAAAGACGCGTTTATGTCAACAAACATGATATGTCTGTTTATTACAAGTTATAGTATAGCTACTGGTTGTACAAAACCCCCATACAAAAAAAATGTATTTAGAATCGGGGTGTGAGTTGTTATCTGAAAGACAGAGAAAACTCAAAATCGTTATATTTAATTTTTCATAATAAAACTCTTGAAAACTTAAGAGGTATCACCCTACAGCAACTTATCAATAATTATAACTATAACATCAGACGAACGGACGACACGCAGTTTATTAATTGCAGGACAACATTTTATCAAAGCTCATTTCTATCTTCAATATAAAAATAAGGAGATGAAGTATCTTCTTATTTTATATTTTAAGTTCATAGATAAGTTCTTTCGTAACCAAATTAAAGGTATATAATATATTACATAAACAGAGATGCATTAGACAATATACTAGATGCTTATGTTTGTGTCGTTGGATTACTGTCTCATTGGCGTATGCCGCCATGTAACTTTAAATAATAGTGCAATTGACTCAAACGTGAATATTTGTTTTCCTTATTCAAAATAAACCCAATAAAGTAACGCTATTCTACTATATTGCATGTGAACGTATTAATTATAAATCATGGGGAATAGAAATAGGGTCGTTTTTGTATCCGACCGGGAGTAAAACACTTGCCAAATTTGGGCGTCCGTTTGGCTGTGCGGAATGTATAAGTACACAGTCACGTCCAGTCAGAGTTGGGATGTTAAATCCGCGATGCCTCATGTAGAAAGAATGCCACGCTTTCTGCACTTATAGAACCATTACAACAACTCTTATAGGGGTTCGTAGGTGGCTTGTTGCAAAGAAAAAACGCTATCCCTATCCAATATAGCCTAAAATCTAGTTGTAGTTCAAATTTCCCCGACCTTCATCCCGAACGGCTGCTATTACAGGACCTACCAACTGTATCTATTGTTCTCGTCAAGAACATGCAAGAAATATTTGCTACTTGACGTTAAGTAACCAATAATCAATCAATACATTGCATCATACCATTTGCCTCGATCAATGTATCCTTCTTTAAATAGAAATTGTAGTTGTTTCTGTAAAGGTTCTTCTGTCTTGCGCTCGTTAGCATTCCACTTGCTGGTTCAAGTGCATCGATTTTGCTGAATCCAATTTTACGAAGCAGAAGAGATAAAAAAAAGTTAATTTCTAAATAAATAGTATTAAAGAGACTGGAGTCGGTTTCACAAAAAAACTTACGACTAAGATTGATTGTAAGTATACTGAATTGTTCATGACTTACGATCAATCTTAGTCGTAAGTTTTTTTGTGAAACCGACTCCATGACTTACGATCAATCTTAGTCGTAAGTTTTTTTGTGAAACCGACTCCTGTTTTATAAACAACAACTCTACTGAAACTACCAAATGACGTAAGGTTGTGTTATGAAACATTAAATTGACGATCGGTCTTTTGAATTTAAATGTTGTCTTTGAATGATTTTTTTGCAATATCTGTACAAAAATACAGTGTTTGAACATGTTCAACTGACTCTTGTTGGTATTTGACAATTTTTACAAATTTCTCGGACTACTCGTCAAATTTATGGAAACGTTTTTAAGAAAGTAATAAACTCATCACAGATACTAGGATTAAAATGTTGTACGCCAGACGCTAGACAAAAGACTCATCAGTGACGCTCGAATGAAAAAGTTAAAAAGGCCAAATAAATTACGAAAGGTTTTACCAAATACAGATAAGGTAATATATTCCTGGGGAAGAAAATCCTTAGTATTTCGAAAAGTCCATGTCAGCACAGAAGTGCTGTCTACTGTGGTGGTAATAAATACTCTCCCACAACAAAGGGTTTGGAAACAAAGAATCAAATCACAAAGTACAATAATGATTTAAAAGGGGCATACACAATTTCCCCTGAGTATGTTTTACAACATTTTTATAAAATCTATCAATCCTTAATTAAAATCACAGTATTACAGCCTAATGTGTGTACTTTAAGATTTTAACAATATTATAATGGCTTATTTCTGAGAAGGTAAGCTTAACCTTATAAACGCAGGAAGATAGCAAAATAAAACAATTTTGACAGATTTTAGCAATTTATTTGTTTTTATCATAAAACTTTATAAGAAGGACATTTTTAAACAAAACCAAAATAATGTTGGAAGTAAAGCTATTGTCCTTAGAATACAAATTTATTGGTTTTGATTAGCGATGTTCTTCGATGCAACATTTGACCAAAAAATATCAAATTTGCAATTTTGTATCGACATCATTCGACAGCAACACCAAGTGCCGATAGCATTTGTATTTAATGTAAAATTGTAACAAAATATTTAAAGTTTATGATATAGATTCTTTAATATTCTACATTTAATAGGATTTGAGTAGTTATTAACGTTTAAATTAGATTGAGACAAATACACGTACAATTGGCCTTATCTATTTATAAATTATATAGATAAAGATTTCATTTAGCAGGAAATCAAACGAGACATCAGTACCAGTTTAAACACATACGGTTGATTGTTGGTTTCATAAGGTCCAGTGGCAAATATTTCACGCATGTTTAGGACGATAAACGCATGCGCAATTAAAAACATATTAAAGTACTTTATTACGTGTTATCGGTCCATATATACATTTATTTATATACACATTTACAGACAAAAAGTAATTTCAGCGTAGACATACAAGCGAAAAAAATGCCAACTAAGGAAAGAGAAAAATCGAAACCTGCTCAAGACAGGTTTTCCATACGGGTGAACAGTTTTAGCTCCGATCCCATATCTGTGGGGCTACTCGAGGTAAAATAAAAGTTCAGTAGGAAAACCATTGAGTGAGGAAAAAAATACAGGTGGACAACAAACGACCCAATACCTTATTTTACTAGAGTAAAACCTACTCAATCCGTTGATCATTATAATAAGAATTACTTTATCAGCCGATAATGATAATATATGAATATACATTAAAATCCACTTCATGATTTGTGCTTGATTTCTAGTTTTATTATAATGTATAACGGCAAAAAGGTTGATGGTGGTGTGTCGTGTAAGACGGAATTATGAGATTCATCAGACTGTCGTTATTTTACTTTTTTATAATGTAAAGCTTTTGTTTTTAATTGTAAACATTTTGTACATTTCGTTTATAAGATATAATTTGTCAAAAAACAATTAATTTTTCAAATTATTCGCATTTAAGACTTAAATTTGAGACGGAACTAAAATAAATTAAAAGTCGTTAAATGTCTTAAATGAACAATACATTATAAATAAGAAGATGTGGACTGAGTGTCAGTGAGACAAAGTTAACAATTATAGGTCAAAGTAAGGCCTTCAATACTGAGCCTTGGCTCACATCGAACAGCAAGTTATAAAGGGCCCAATATGACTAGTGTAAAACAATTCAAACAGGAAAACCAACGGTCTAATCTATATTAAAAAAAGAGAAACGAGAAACACAGGTATGAAACACACAAACAAACGACAACCACTGAACAACAGGCTCCTGACATTTGGACAGGTGCATAAAAATGCATCGGGTTTAAACGTTTTAACAGGCGCCAACCTTCACCCAAATCTGAGACAGTAGTATATATATTCATTACGGCTAACCGGTTGGCGGTGGTGTGTCGTTAAAAAAGAAATTATGAAATTCATCAGACTGTCGACATTTTACTTTTTTTTATAATTTAAAGCTTTTGCTTGTAACTGTATACATTTTGTACAATACGTTTAAAAAGATACATTTTGTCAGAAACAGATTATGTTTGCAAATTATTCGTGTTTAAGACTTAAATTAAACTTAAAAAAAAAA